TTCATACATTGAAAAAATTTGTTTAGAAAAAAATGAATAAGAATAATCGGCAACATTGGCGGAGAACAGGCCGAAGAGTTTTAAACAGACTGGAAACAAAATTTTAAATCATTTTACTTTTTGCTTTTTGTATGCGAATTGCATTCAATGAATTGGTTAGATGGGGATTGGGGTATGGAGGAAGAGAGGGGGAGGGGGGGGGGGAAAGAAGAATTTTCCCATTAAATTTTTATATGACACATATTAATCTGTTTATTTTTTGTTTTGTTTTGTTTTATTTGTTTTCGTTGTTAATTCCATAAATTTGTGGCAACCAACTTATATTCAAGGTTTATGCTGTCATTATTGTTCTTGACGTTGTTTTTTTTTTCCGCGAAGCAATTTTTATTTTTCTGTCTTTTTTTTGTTTGGATGAAATGATTGGTTTTTTTTCTTTATTTTTATTTCATACCATTTACGTATAATTACCACAGTTTAAAAAAAAAAATTCTAATTTTCTTTTGTCAGAGTCATTAGTTAATGAACTGTAAAATTTGTTTGAGAAAAAAAAAATAAAGAAAGAAAAAAATATGTAGGATGTAAATTTTAACTTTTTAATAACAGTTTTTTTTGTTTTATTATTTTTAAAAATAATCATATTGAGAAATTAATCAATTTAACAGATCTTCCTGTCTTGTATATTTAATGTTTTCTTGTTTTAGTTTTGTTGATATTATAACATCAACAACAACAGCTGAATATGTGAAACTTATTGTTTCCTGTTTGGACTATTCAAATGATACTGGCTTTACTCGTCTAATACTACATACTGCAGTTACATCAGCATCAGAGGTAGGTTGAAAAAAAAAAATTAAAACGATTTTTTTTTGTTGAAAAGTAGAAAGAAATAAAAATATTAGGGAAAGCGATTTTTTTTTTTTGCCGTTTGTTGTCATCTGTTTTGTGAAAATAATTTGCACAACAGATGAACGCTTTTGTAATTAACGGTATTGATAAACGCTTTTAAATGGAATTTACATTTTTGATGGTGTTTAATTTATTTTTCATTAATGTTTTCGTCTTGAACTGGTTAAAATCTCTTTTTGCTGCCAAAAAAAAAGCTTGTATTTTCAACTTTTTTTCTCTAGTATAACTTCAATTTTCAAGTTTTCATACATTTAAAAAAGGTTTAAACACGTTTTCAGTGTAATATTTCTAAATTTTTCATCAAGATTTGTTTGGAAACTGCCATTTAATTTAAAAAAAATTGAAAAGAAAAGAGACGATTTTCTGGTTTAGGCAAGATAAAAAATTTCTTTGGTTGCTTCTTTGATAAAAAGTTGGAGGTGCATCTTTTTTTTTAACTTCTGTTTTTTAAGATTGGAAGGAAATGGGCAACACGTTTTCTCAGTGTATTAGGTGAGAATGATCCTCAGACGTTTGTGGAATGGGGGCTAAGCCTTCTAATGGGCCAGCTAGCTGACCCATCAGCAAAGGTTGTTCGAGACGCAATACGTGTACTTAGCCAGTGGATTCCGGTCAGCATGAAAACTTCTTAAGTGAATTATTTTTTTATCGAGTAGTAACAAGTGAAAGGGATCATTGAAGGCAGTTTTCAGGTGTATCCTGAATGTATAACATCATTACAAAACCTTCGATTGGAAAGTTTTGGTGATGCCGGTATTTTTCTAAGCACATACTTATTTGGCAACGAAAAATATGTAATCGAAAATCCAAAGGAAGTCCAAAATGCTATCAATTTGTGGAGAAAGGTTGCTACAGTTTATTTCGAAATTTATATCATAGTCTGTAGATAGAACTGAAACTAAGAAGTGTGAAAGTTCTTTGGAAAGTTGCATCGGCACTTAAAAGAATATTGATTTTTTAAGGAATTCAACGTTAAGTATGTTGATACAGTGGAAGATGACACTAAGGTTGAGCTTATGAACGTCAAACGTTCATTCGATGGATATTTTGCCAGAATCTCGAATGAACGGTAGTTAGCTATAAATTTTGTTCAAGATCAAGTTGTCTTTCGTAGTGTTTTTAGCAAAGTTCTGTTTTTTCATTTCCTCTCTTCTTTATTTTAGTTCAAAAAGGTGTGGTATATCACTCCCAGCCCATCTTTACGGACACCTTGCCTCGCATGAAAGTGGCCGGAAGTGGTTGAAACGTTCTAAAGAAATTGAAAGACTGTTGTTATTACTGCGCAACGCTCCCGCAGATATGTCGTATGCGGAAACTAAAGAAGTGAAAGGAGCTATTTTTGCGGTGTCACATTTTGTAGCATCAAGCGACGCAGGAAAGGGCAAGCTGCTTTTGCTTTCATACTTCAGACACAGTTTATAGTTCCAAAAATTTCTTTATTTTAGTTTTCAAAAACAATTGTTTATTTCTTTGTGCTCTTATAAATTAACAATCTGGGAGGAAAGTTTGTAGTTTTGTAGAATGTTTTTTCGTTACTTTCAAAGAATTTTTTTTCACTGTATTTATTTTAAGGGTGCACTGATAGTTCAGCAGCCGAGGCAGTCATAATACTCTGCAGATATGCGGAAGCATGTCCTGTACTTAGTGTTAGAGGAACTGCATTCTGGGCCCTGAATCTGATTGGAAGCTGTGCATACGGTACTTTCAAATCTTCTTCTGATTTTATTGGTGTAATGCTACTTCAAACCTCTTATTTCAACAGTTCAGGCGCAAGATTTTTAACCTCGCTGGGATGGGAAAGCAGCAAGTATAATGAGGATACTGAAAGAGTACAATTTGAAGAACTTGGTTTAGACCCATCGAATTTGTGGATAAACTGTGTTGATGTATGCACCAGCGACCCGCATTATATTGTTAAAACAAGCGTTAATCAAGTAAGGTTTGATCAAACTGAATAGCTTATCATTTAGTTCAAGCATAAACAGATTTGTTATTATATCTGCTTTTATTTTCTTTTCGCGCTTTTGTAAACTGATTCTTTTCTAGTTCCCCGGTTTTCCTCTAAGTGGTCGGTCCTCTACTGTTAATACCAACACCTTTTTGCAACACACGGAAGACTCTTTTGAGGGGAAAGAAACGTCTCTTTCTTCAAGAAATTCTGCCACCGATTTTGGAAATGGCAACGAGATGAAATTTTATGATGCATACGAATCTGGTATATTCTTTTATTGGTTTATATGAATTTAACTTATAGATGTGAATTTTTCTTTGTCTTTCCTAAATTACCTTTGTTTTAACCATATTTTTTCAAAAAAAATAGAATTTATTAGAATCTCAAATTCTTTAGCATTCCATTCTCTAGTTCATCTTGACTACAATATTAGTTTCAAATTTTCATTCTGTTTTAAATGTTCCGTTCAAAGTTTTATGACCTCAACTTTCATTTTTTTGGTGTAAATAAATAACTTCTCTTTTGTCTTGCACAGTTGGAATTTTTTAACAGTTACACAGCCCTCTTAGTAGTTGGGTGTAAATTAATTTTAGTGGTATTTAGGTTCTACACCGTCAATAGTGAATGAATTTGAAGTCTTGGTACCGAACATACCCCAAAGACACATAGCTGATGAATCCATTCCAGATGTTCTAGCTGACGAAAGTGTATGTTTTTTTCAATTTCCTACATCGTCGCCTGAGCTCATTTAATGAAAGCATAAAAATTTTTTTTTTGTTTTCAAGGTTTAAGTAGGTTTTGACAGACTTTTTCTATTTTTAATGTATATATTAGTGTATTATTTCTTGCTATGAAAACGCAGTAAAGCTTTAGTTCGCAAAAGAAGAATCGTGTGGTAACAAATTATTAGTAGTTTTGAATAAGTGGCTTTTATTTTGAATGACACTTATGTGGTTCATACTATGTGATCACTTTTTTCAATTAGTTACAAGTAGTCTGGAATGAAACTGTGCCAGAAATAGCGTCCTGAAGAAGGCTTTTCAGAGAAACAGCAAACTTCATTTTTCATCGAAACTTCGAGCTCGTTTGGGATTGCCAACATTTGAATACGGCAATGTTTTAGTCGTTGAGCAGTTGCTAGCTGTGCCTGTATGTTATCCTTACATGCCGCACAGTGAGGTAATTAGCCTATATTTGCCACTCCCTGTTAGATAACTTTCCAACATCTGTATCAAATGGAGCAGTGTTATAGTTTTTTAAGTAAAATGTGTATTAACATTTTCTTTGCTACAGCTACGATCATATCGGAAAATCCGAGGGTTATACCCCCCAACGTTGGAGGCTCCTGTTGATGATGTGCCGCTTCGTTTCATGCAGGTTGAACGACCCTTTGTGGTTCTTCCGTGTGTTGTAAGTTTGGTCTCAAAGGTAAGTAGTGTAATGGTTTAAGGAAAATAACATTTTATAGAATAGAGCAATATTTAAATATTTTCTCAATTTAAGTGAGTGGAGATTTACGCTCCAATAAGGAAATGCATTATTCTTTTGTTTCTTGAATGATTCATACTTTTATACTTTTAAAACAAATTTTTTTATAGAATATATTTTTGGAAGAGCCGTATACTTCCATTATTACTGAGCAGCTTCGTGCTGAGCTTGAAGATCTCGATGAACTTGAAAAATTTATGAATGAGAGGCGGCAACATTGTCCCAAAAGATGTTTCTTTTGTTCATACTTTAGCAAATTGGTTAATGATGCTGGTTAGTACAAAAACTTTCTTAGAGCTTATATCCTTTGAAATTATTGTGATCTTCAGCACTTTTACAGTGATATTCGTGAAAGCGTTTAATCTTTCAGCCTTAGTACCCTCTATATCAACGGTTGATGCGGAGCAAAGGATCGCTTTGTTGACTTTAATAGAAACACGTTATTCTAAAGATTCGTTACAGAAAGCACTTGAAAAAAAAATCTTTTTGTAAGTCGCTGTAAAATTTAACGACAGAAATATCCTTTGGTTTAATAGCGAATTTATACATCTGGAGAATATGACGTTTTGTTTTGCATTTAAATCTATGGTAATAAAATACTTGTTGGTATATGTTCAGTAATTTTGGCTGCAGTAGTTTCTCCTAAAGTTTTTAAATTTTTTTTTTAATTATAGTTTTTTTTTGTTTTTTAACTACTGTATTTAGGAAATATGAACAAAACCCGGAACTGTTTTCTTGTCCTTGCCTTTATTGGGATATTTTTGAATTGCTTTCTGGAAGCCGATATAGGTGCGAAACTAGGCGCGTGTTACACAATCTCTTCACAAATGCCTTTAATTCAATTTCTAATCATCTAATCAAAAAGTAGTTACATGTATAAGCAGTTGCAAATCATTTAGTATAATACCGAGTGCAAAGATGTTTTCCACTGGATTTCAATCACGTAGATACTGTGTTATATCACCAGAACTTCTTTTAAGAAGTAGATCTATGTTAGATATGGCTAGAATTCTATTTGGTGTGTTTTAATATTAATTTGAAATATTTTTGTTAACGTATGACAGCTATGTCTCTTAATATCTAGTTCTTTTGATTGCTATCTAAAGTTCATTTGTGAAAGTTGTCCAAAAAGATTTGGATGTGCAATGTGTTGTTCACTGTTAACGGGTCAAAGTAAACAATTTGAGAATCTTAGAAATGGTGGTCTGATTTGTTTTGAAAGCAGACAGCGTTAATTTATGTTCGAACATCGGACGGAATCTGCGTATTAAAGTTTGGATCTGTGAGAAAGCACGGGAACATTTACTTTTTTACTAGCATTGGTAAACTGATCATCTGAAAAAGACGGTATTGGTTCAAATCCGAGAATAAGTTTTCTGAATTCGCGTTTACTAGGCATTAATGATGGACCTCTGTGTTCTAATAATTATGATGGTAGTGGCACTGTTTTGTAACGCAAAAAAGTGTATTAGTCGTGTTCATAAAATTGGAGTTTTTTCTAAGGTTTCACTCCATACTCAGCAAATAAAAAGTGATTTATTTTAAGGTCATTTACCAAAAAGTTTTGCTTTTTAGCGTTGGGTGGCTCAGTTATTTTTACTGATTGTAATTTTAACTGTCAGAAGTGAAGAATACGAGTGAAATTTTTTGGGGCTTACGGAACTGGAGTGGTAATAAATAACTGGAAATTGCAGCTGCAGAAGTCTGCAATTCAAAACTTTTCTGTAGACTTCCTTCTGTAGGCCGGTGTGGTGGATGAGTTACTGGAGAACACCGAAAATGACTGTCGTTAACCGTAGATAGTGTATGAAAAGCAACCACTGTTGTTAAAAAAAGAATCGACCTATTTCAATAGTCAATGATTTTTGAAGTTTATGATATTCAAAAAACCTGATGTGAAACAAAACAATGGTTATTTTGTGCAGTATTAAGTATCATTTGTCATTTAAGTGTACGTTGATGCTTTAAATTGTATTTTTTTGTCAGATTAGTTTGTGGGCAAACTTGATGGGTATTATGTAGTAGTAGGGTATAAAAAAAAGGAAAAACAAGAAAGAAAATCAATTCTGGAGAGAGTGAATGCAGTGTTTTGTTTTTGTTGTTGTTTTGGTAAAGTAAACAATAATTGATGGTTGTTGACTTAACAGCAGAGAAATTTTTGAGAATTGCAAGAAAAAAAAAGAGGAAGGAAAAAATAGTTCAATATTCTTTTCCTGATGTGAAAAATAAGACTAGAAAAGACGTTTGTATTTTACAAGTATTCACACAGGTATTATAATAAGAAAAAGGAAATTTCTCAACTGTTAAAACATTTGTATTTTTTCGTCGCCATCTTTCGTCATTTTTCGGTAAAACAATTGCCGAAAATTGTCGAACTTCACTGTTTTTGATCATCATCTGTACTGTTGATCTGTATAGCTTACAGAAAAGTCACATGTTCATTTTTTTTTTTCAATTTTTCATAATTGATTTTAACGATTTTTGATCAACTGAACCATGATACTGTTACCTGTTGTACATCTTATGGCTTTAATGATCAAGGTTACTGAATGAATCGTCAAATTTTGTTGTTCTATTTAGGTACAGTTAGCCATCATTGAACCTTAGAAGAAGAAAAGAGAACAGTTACTTAGTAAATTGAATCTTTTGATGGGCTTGTATTAACTAGTTTCTGAAGTGTGCTCACAGCAAGTATCCGTACCAGTTCAAATGGTTCTATAAAATTCCAGAAATTTTTAGTGAATTATAGTGATACATATGTTAGCCAGTAACATTCATTGTTTTAATGTTACTGGACTTAGATATGGAAAAAGACTTGAAAAAAGAAAGAAGAGAAACAGGTTACCATTTTTATAGGTTTTAACTCCTCCTGTTTTTTGATTTTTGTCTTATTTCATTCTTGTTTAAACTTGATCTTAGTTCAAATAAAACTTTAGTATAACATAAGATGTTGTCAAACAAAATGCTGAATTTTAAAGAACTGGTAGAGCTTGGTTTTCAGTTTGATAACAGTTGACTGGTTTTAACCACAGATTAATTGCTATAAAACTGTTGAAAATATGGTACTGTAAACTTGTTTTTAACCCAGTTTGAAAAGCTAACTGGAACTAGAAAATTTAGAAAAATTTTTTACCGTAAACATCGTTGTTTATACATATGCATGTTTCAACATTCTAGTATCACTGTAAAATTAGTTCTAACGAAATCAATGGGAAAAAAAAATGCAGAAAAAAATTATTGTAACTGCAAATACAGTTAATAACAATTATTATTACAAAGTCTATTGAAACAAATAGCAATAAATATCTACAACCGCGCATTAACTTCCTTAAACCTCCTTCCTTTGCTCTTTTTTATCACATCACTATTCTTCAATTCTAAGTTTAGTTTAATTCAATTTCTTAAGTCATGTTTTGTTGCCATGTTTTATGATGATGATGATGATGTCGTACAACAACAAGCAGTGGTCATATAGTTGTTTATCATCTAATACCACTTTATCTGCTCATATCTATCAAC